TAAAAATAAATAACAAATATATTTATTTATGTATAATAAATTGAAACTAGTTTTATAAAAAAATAAAGAGTTTTAAATATAGATAAAAATATTTATTTATTAAAAAAAATAAAAATAAAAGAATTTTGAATTGAAAAATTTTGAAATTTGATTTAATTAATTTATATCCATAAAGAATATTTAAAATAAATAAATTTATTAAAAATAGAAATCATATTAATTTGTTTTGGGACATATTAAAAAGAATAACAAGTATATCTTTAGAGAATTATGTAGATTGAATAGTACTCCCTCCGTTCCAATACAATAGTCTTGTTTACCATTTTTGTTTATTCCAAAATAATAGTTTTATTTTCATAAATAACCATATCCTCGTAAAACTATTCTTACTTTTTTATTTTTATTACATAATTATCACTACTTTTTACACTAATACACTCACAAGGGCAAAAAAAATCTTTTATCTATACTTTTTAGCCACTACCAATATAATATCAATATTCCTTAAATCTCATATTCAACCCAATTAAGACTAAATTTATGGGACAAATGGAGTAATTTTTTTAGGGTGTGTTCGTTTGTAGGATTTAGACAAAATCCTAGTATTCATCCAAAATTTTCTCCCTAAAAATATCAAATCAAACACATATTTTTTATTCTTTATATTATATTAAAAATCAATTTTACATTCAAAACATCACATCAACACCTATTTATATCATATCATACAACTATTCAAATTCAAAATTTTTACTATTCAAATCTCAACTCAAAATCCAAACCTCCAAACAAACACACCCTTGATGTTGATGACAATACATGCAATGCAATGATGCTGATGGTGAAATCATGGATTATGCTAAGGGTTGCATGAAATTCAAAGCAATAAAAGTACACTGGTCTCTCATAAGCTTATGTTTCGGTAATTTTTTTTAGAGTAAAATTCAATAATAGTCCTAATCAAATCAATTTTTTATTTTTATTTTAGTCCCATTCAAAAATAATTATCAAAATTAATCCCACATAAAAATTAAATTATTAGTTTTAGTCCTACCGTTAAAATTTAAAGGAATTATGCTGATGCGACTGTAATAGAAGATGAAGTGGCATCTGACTCAGATCAAACACGGACGTGTTACAAGGAACACGGCCGTGTTTGAACATAAAATACTTTTATATCAATACCCGTATTGAAACACGGGCGTCTTGAAAGTGGACACGCCTGTGTTTGATACCTGAGGCTAGAAATATTGGAAAAGATCCACAACTGCAAGTAATTTTACATCCATCAATATCCAAATCAGAAATTTCTAATCAATTTTGACCCATCAATAAATATATAACTGTGGACAAAAAATTGTGTTATTTTTAATAAATACAAAATTTGTACAAATTATATTTGATTTGAATTTAAAGCGGATCCTATTCTCTAAATGGGTCCTTTGATTCTCCTTCCGGGTCGATTTATTTTCCAACTTGGTTTTGGATGGCTTCTTTGATCCGAAGAGGTTTGGCCTTCAGTTTGACTTTGTCGGCTTTTGGAGAGCTTTGGTCTCCGTGCGGGCGATTTGGTCGTTGGCTTTGGATTTGATGTCTTTTTTAGACGATCTGAGGCTTTGATATTTGATTTGGCTTTGCCGTCTTTTGGAGGACTTTGGTCTCCATGTAGGCGATTTGATCACCGGCTTTAGATTTATGTCTTCTTTAGACGATCCGAGGCTTTGATCTTTGATTTGGCTTTGCCGCCTTTTGGAGGACTTTGGTTTCCGTGTTGGTGATTTGATCATCGGCTTTGGATTTGTTGTCTTCTTTAGACGATCCGCGGCTTTGACCTTTGCTTTGGCTTTGCCGCTTTTGGAGGACTTTGGTCTCCGCGTGAGCAATTTGATCATCGGCTTTGGATTTGTTGCCTTATTTAGACAATCCGAGGTTTTGATCTTTACTTTGGCTTTGCCGCTTTTGGAGGACTTTGGTCTCCGTGTTGGCAATTTGATCATCGGCTTTGGAATTATTGTCTTCTTTAGACGATCCGCGATTTTGACATTTGCTTTGGCTTTGCCGCTTTTGGAGGACTTTGGTCTCCGCGTAAGCAATTTGATCATCTGTTTTGGATTTGTTGTCTTCTTTAGACGATCCGCGGCTTTGACCTTTGCTTTGGCTTTGCCACTTTTGGAGGACTTTGGTCTCCGTATTGGCGATTTGATCATCGTCTTTGGATTTGATGTCTTCTTTAGACGATCCGCAACTTTGATCTTTGGTTTGCCTTTTCCGCCTTTTAGAGAGCTTCGGTCTCCGCGTGGGCGATTCGATCGTCGGCTTTGGATTTATGTCTTCTTTAGACGATCTACGGCTTTGATCTTTGCTTTGGCTTTGCCGCTTTTGGAGGACTTTGGTCTCCGTATTGGCGATTTGATCATCGTCTTTGGATTTGTTGCCCTCTTTGGACGATCCGCGACTTTGACATTTTTTTTGGCTTTGCCGCTTTTGGAGGACTTTGGTCTCCGCGTGGGCGATCCGATCGTCGACTTTGGATTTGATGTCTTCTTTAGACTATCCGCAACTTTGATCTCTGGTTTGCCTTTTCCGTCTTTTGAAGAGCTTCGGTCTCCGCGTGGGCGATTCGATCGTCGGCTTTGGATTTATGTTTTCTTTAGACGATCCACGGCTTTGATCTTTGCTTTGGCTTTGCCGCTTTTGGAGGACTTTGGTCTCCGTGCGGGTGATTTGATCCTAAGCTTTGAATTTGATGTCCTCTTTAAACAATCTACAGCTTTAATCTTTGAGAAGGTGGATTTGGTGCTCCATAACGCTTTTGGTGGCATGTCCCTTTGACTTTTGGATCGAAGAGGGCCGAGTTGATGATTTGGTGAAGAACGCGATGAACACCTCGAAGGTTTGGGATGAACTTTGGATGCTCTTCCTTGGCTTTGATGGACTCTTCAATAGCTTTTGGAGCTTTGATCCTTGAAGAGGTGGATTTGGTGCTCCATAACACTTTTGGCAGCGTGTCTTTTTTACTTTTAGATCGAAGAGGGCCTAGTTGATGCTTTGTTGAAGAACGCGATGAACATCTTGAAGCTTTGAGAGAAACTTTGAAGACCTTCCCTTGGCTTTGACGAATTTCTCAACGGCTTTGAGAGCTTTGATCCTTCCTCCGGCTTGGACATACGACGAAGAACGTTAATTTCATCGATTTGTCAACCAATATTGGAGCATTTGTCCAAATTAGTGACTTTCGACGAAGAACGCTTCGAAGGACACGAAGAACATGAAGAACAATACAGAGAGGGTCTAGAGACTTACCCCTTTGCTTGAATCCTCGATGAAACTTCGGTGTTTCAAATGAACTGACCATGGCTCCTATTTATAGGGGATGAGTGGCTTCGGCTTTCTTTTTCAATGGTGACATGTGGCGCATTTTGATTGGCCAATATGAAGATTTTATAATCTTTCCTTTTCCATTGGATACTTTTTTCCATTCTTGACGGATTTGATTGTACACATTCCTTTCTCGCCAAGATCTTTATATCATTGTCCTTTTTCGGAAGATATTAATTTATATACTTCCTTTATTGACAAGATTAATTTATTTTGCTGCCAAATTTATTATGACTCTATTTATGCACGTAATATTTATACGATATCTTCAATTTTAAGCAAATTTTTGCATTAATGATTGATATTTATTGTACAAAAATTAACATGTGTGCATAATTAAATATTATATATTTATTTTATTGAAATTTTATTTTTCTTCCAAAATACATTATATTTAATTGATTTTAGACATATATTTTTAGTGTCTACAATAACATAATTAATAATAATAATAATAATATATCAATTAATTCATAAGAACATCATAAAAAATCATTGCCTAGCTAGTAGTGGGGAATCAGAGATGGTGAAGGAGTGTTTCCTGGTGGAGGATAGTGATACGGCGGCGCCCGGGTATTTTCCGGTGGAGGATGAGGAGGTGGCGGCCGAGTTTACGGCGGCGATGGTATATTCCCTGGTGGAGATTGTGGTGGCGGCGGGGGTGTGCTTCTTGGTGGTTTGGTGTTTTCGATCTGCTCGAGCTAGCGGAGGAGAGGTCGGCAAGGTCGCCTATTTGGAGGAGGAGACATGGAGGAGGTGGGTGAGGTTGGCCTGGAGCTGGAAGCCGGACTTGAAGTAGAGGAGGTGGAAAACTATGTTGGGGCAGCATCCAGAGGAAGGCATCCTCCAGGCTGCTCCGCCGGGTGGGATCGAACATGGCGAGAACGTCGTCGGGGTGGTTTTGGATGCCTCAAGGAGTTCCTGAAGGAACTGATTCTGCTTAATGATCCAGCTCTCGAAGAAGTTGTGGAAGGTCTGTGCCCACTCGCACTCGCACTCGCATGTATGTATATATACATACAAGTATGTGGTCGGATGTATACTGGTTTTGTTCTATATTGAATTTAAACACGGGAACATTGAACACGCCCGTGTTTCAATACGGATATTGATATAAAAGTGTTTTATGTTCAAACACGGCTGTGTTTGATCTGAGTCAAATACCACCTCACCTTCTGTTATAGCCTCGTTAGCATAATCTGTTTAAATTTTAATGGGATTAAAAATAATAATTTAATTTTTGTGTGGGACTAGTTTTGATAATTATTTTTGAACGAGACTAAAAATAAAAAAAATAAATTTGATTGGGACTATTATTGATTTTTACTCTTTTTTTCAAAATTTTAGTATTCAATTTTTGTGATATTTTATATATAAGAAATATATTAATTTTTTAAATAAAATATCAAATTTAATAGGAAAGTGTTAAAAAAGAATTGTTAGGTGAATATATTATATATCCATAATAAATTAAAACTTATTTTCCATTAAAAGAAATTCTGAAAACACATACAGAAAATAACAAATAAACACAGCCTTAGACTTTTTAAGTAGAAATGGGCTTTATCAGGCCCAACACAGAAAATCAGGCCCAGCCTTGTTTCAACTATTATATATAAATATATATATTGACATACAAGGTCACCTGCTCGTCTCTTGCAGATTAGGGTTTACGCTGCTGCTGCCTCTTCCGCCGCCGCATCAAATTTACCGGGGGGACGCACGCTTCTTCGAACCACGCAACAATGGCGGAGCAGGTAAACATTACGATCCGGCATGTGTACGGATTTGTTTTGTTTTCTGTACTGTTTAAGAATCTTGTGGACTTACACGTTTTTCTGTTTGAAATTAATCTGCAGACAGAGAAGGCCTTCTTGAAGCAGCCTAAAGTGTTTCTTAGGTGGGTAGATCTTTAGAGCCCTAAGATTTCCGTTTTTTTTTTTTTTTTTTATGCTTTACGGGAAACATTTATACGGATTTTCAACATGTGAAAGGATAGCAGGTTTTGGGAAATATGGCCTTTTTTCTTTTGTATTATATATATTTGCTTGGTGCAACAAACTATGCTATTAGGTATGAGATTTATGCAAAATGTCGACTTCGATTTATTTTTTGAATTGGTATTTACAGCTCCAAGAAATCAGGGAAGGGTAAAGCGCCTGGAAAGGGAGGAAACAGATACTGGAAGAGCATTGGATTAGGGTTCAAAACACCACGTGAAGCCATTGAAGGTCGGTTGTTAATTATTATTATTATTATTATTATTCTATTTATATTTCAGGTCGAACTCATGGTATTTCATTCAACATTACCAACTTGCACATGTTCAATATTTTTATGAGATTCTCTTTGGATGTTTGATTAGAAATCTAGGTTGGGTTTTTTTTTTTTTTTTTGCGCATTTCATATTTCGAATCTTTTTGTTTGGTCGAGGACTTTTAGCATAGGCTTACAATATACTGGTAATGCTTCATCGTGGAGTATCTTTGCAGTACGTTCCTTGTGTAAATTTCTTTATTTTGAAATTTATATGTGAACTGTCTCATAGTTAATTTGATACCCCAAATTTCTGTACCATGATTCTAGGTTCTAAAGCTATGGTTCTGCGCAGTTGTTCTTTGAGTGGTTGCCTTAAAAAAAGATTCTTCAAATGTTTCATAATTCAAAATTTAAATACCAATTTCCAGAGTCTCTGAGTAGTGGTTAATGTATTGTTTTCTTGCCTGATCTTTTTCTTTTTTTTTTTTAAAAAAAAAAATTCCTCCTTTTTCTTAAGACATTTGATGAACTCTTGTTTTTCACTTTTTGCTGAAGTTTTTTAGTATTTTCACTGCCTATCTATTTATTATAATTCATAGAATTGTGTTTCATTTACTGTGAAGTAAAAGTGTTATGTGCTATCATTAATGATAAACCGTAAAACTCGATTTCAAATGTTGAGGTTATGTTTTAATTATGTCTTATTTTTTTATTTTTTTATTTTTTTAAATCAAGACTATGGAATAACAACTATATGTGTAATTTGACACTCTCCTCCAAAGTGGTCGAGTCATTAATAGTTGCGCTGATGTGCTGTTGTCTTTGAGCACCAAAATCTTCTGGGTCGTTTTTTTTCCACTTTCTAATATATAAAAAGGTTCTCACTTCACTTGTGCTCTAATTTATCTTTATACCAAATGCACCAGTTTTCAGTATAATGTTTCATACTGATTCCCATGCTTGTTCATTGTTTCCTTCTGTTTGTGTTATTTATATTTCACAAGGTCAGTAGTAGTAGTATTCTCCCTGAGGATTAATTATTAGCCTATTGCTAGTTGTGTTTGGCTAATATGTTACTATCCTGTGTTTAGTAGTATTTCTCGTTTAAAATTCAATGCAGCCTTCTTGTAAATCATTTTCCAGGAACATATATCGACAAAAAATGCCCCTTCACCGGCACTGTCTCCATCCGAGGCCGCATCCTAGCTGGCACATGCCACAGTGCAAAAATGACCCGAACCATAATTGTCAGGAGGAACTACCTGCACTGGGTGAAGAAATACCAAAGGTACCAAATTTCCTTGTTATTGTAATACTGTCTCAAGTGGATTTATTTATTTTTTAATTCTCCAAGTTAATTGACGGTGTTGTTTAGATATGAGAAGAGGCATTCCAATACGCCGGCACACATTTCACCATGCTTTCGTGTGAAGGAAGGGGATCATGTCATCGTCGGCCAATGCAGGCAAGTGCCAATTCATCTTTGTTATCAAATGCTCGTTTCTCTTAGAACTTGATTGTTGATGCATAGTGTTTTTAAATCACTTTCTCCGCAGGCCATTGTCGAAGACGGTGAGGTTTAATGTCCTCAAGGTGGTCCCGGCTGGCTCCTCCGGGCGGGGGAAGAAGGCTTTCACTGGGATGTGAAATCCAGGTTGCTAGATTTTAATGTTTTTTTTGCAAGGAAGATGAGTTTTGGACCACTGCTTGCTATCTATGGTTTAATTTTGTGATTTCATCTTTGTTATAACTCTTATGATTATATTATATATACTCATCGACATTTCTTTAGATTATATATTTAAATAGAACTGTTATGGTTCTTGTAGCTTTTGTTATGTTGATTTTGGATGTGTTGTGTTTGTGCTTTCGAATTATTTGATGCGAAAAAGAAGGGGAATTTGGACTGAATTTTTTCAAAAGAATATAGGGGTTAGCCATGGCAGGGGAAATAAAATAAAATAAATTCGATTCATGATTTGGCAACGATTATTTTTATCTTTTAATTTTATAAACAATTATTCAAATTTTATATTATTCAAAAATAAACTCAATTTTATTCTTTTATTTAGAATGTTTTAACAATTATTGTTATATTTTATATATATTTTATTCTTTTTACTTTTTATTCATTTATCATTTTTAATTTTTACCAAACAACAGAGATAAGTTTATTAATTCATAACAAAAAAAAAAAATTTTTAAAAAAATTGTGCAAATATGTCTTAAAGGCAAAAGAAATTGGAATAATATTTTAAATGTTATAATTTATATTCAATTTTAATTAAATTAAATATAATTTTAATTTATAATTATTTATAGTATTATATTATAATTATTTTTTATTAATATATTTTTAAATATTTACTAATCAAATGTTTTAAATTTTCATGTTTACGAGAATTATAATCACCATGTTCTCTCAACATAAGTTTTCAATTACAATTTTTCGAAATATAAAAATAAAAACGTAAAAAAATATTCCAAATATTTTTTATAAAAAGTCAAATATTCAACTTAAAATAATACTATTACTTCCGACTCGAAGGATTTTATTTATTTTTTACATGTTGATATTTGAATATTAATTATATTATCAAAATATAATACAAATTAAAAAAATTTTGTAAAAATATTTTCATTAATGTCTTATAATACTAATAAAATCACATTTGTAAAAATAAATTATATAAATATAAAGATATTTTCAATGTTAAATTCAATGACGCAAAATGTAAATTTAACTATTAGAAACAAACGAAAAAGAATATTGTTGAGCAAGAAAAAACCAGTGTGTAGGGTTTTTGAGAATAAGCCTATTAAATTGGGCTAAAGGTTGGTGTAGAGTCTAATGGGCCTGTCAATAGTAGTAGACCCTAAAAAGTCAGTCCAAATATAAGTCCAAGCGCTATTAAGAGATAGGTTTTCTCGGGAGAAACCTGTGATTAAGAGGTCGGACAAGGAGAGGACGGACGAAGAAGGGAAAACAATATGCACTCAGGTCGGGTGGCATATAGGTCGGGCAAAAGGAAGTCGGGCAAAAAGTAAGATGGCCGATACCGAAGTCGGACAAAGTGTAAGGCGGGCGAAAAGAGACGTAGCAATGGATATGCAGGTCCGGCGAGAAGCAATTTTAAGGTGGTTAGAAGAAGTTACGACTGGCGAGCGGGTTTAGAGGCACGACCTAGACGTGGCGGTTGGTATGGGTTTTAAATAAGTTCTTTTACGACTTCAAGAAATCATCTTCAATCGACATCAAATTCAGTGAATTGCTTTTGGGGATCACCATTTACTTTTTCAATCTGTAGTATTTATTTTCCTAGTTTTTCGTACGGTGTCTTAGGGACATTTTTATTATATCAAATTCGAAGATAATTTTTTATTTTCGAGTTTTACTTTTTATTATTGAAAATCGACGTCAACAAATATATTTTATATTTTTTATACTCCCGTTGTCACACAGTAAAAATCAATCCATCTCACAACAGCTATATCATAGTACATTATTTTTAAAATAAAGCCTAACAAGAGTAAATTTTTACTCTATGTCAATATGCTTCTAAAAATAAATGAAAGTAAGTTTGAATATTATAGGGGGCCTATGGATCAAGAATAAAACTATTGAACACTCTAAAACTATTTTATAGTAATTTATATTATTTAATTATATTTTAAATGTAATTAAATAAATAATATCATAACTAATCAGCACTATATTTTTTTATACGATTTCAGCAGATAATTTGGACTGTATTATAGTGTTTGTTTGCACAATAGTTTTCTTTTATATGATTTTTAGTATACATATATATATATATATATTATTATTTCACAAAATTTAAATTTAACGTAAAATATTATTTTTAATATTCACATAAAAAATTTAAAAATTATTCAACTCAAAACAGTAGACAAACAAACCCATAATGTATGTTGTATATATTTTTAAAATTATATGTACGTGAACTTAAATTGTACATATTTTTTGGAGTAAAAATCAATTTTGATTCCGATCAAACTTTTTCTTTTGTTTTTGTCCTATCTAAAAATAATTATCAAAATTGATTCCATACAAAAAATAAATTATCATTATTGATCATACCCTTGAAATTTAAACGGAATTAGCTGATGTGGTCATAAAGGAAGCTGATGTGGCAAACGATCTGGAACAAACACGGCCATGTTAGCTACAATACGGGCGTGTTTCTTCAACAAAATAATATGTCACTGTATTGATACCAACACCGACGTGTTCAAAGAGGAGCAATAATTAAAAGTTGAAATAGGTGATTGGGTCAGGTTTTATAATAATAATGAGTGTGGGCCTCGTGCTTAATTAATTATTTTCATATAATTTTTATTTTTAAGCACCAAAAATATCATTTTTTTTTTGTGTGAAAATATTATTTTTAATTTTTTTTTGTTAGTTAAACAAAAGATGATTACTTTTGTATTTGATAAATTTATCAATTTTAAACACATTTAATAAATATATATTATTAATTTAATTAAATTTATGATCTCTTACACATAGGATTATTCAAAATTTCTTTATTTTATATCTCAATTAACAAATATTTTTATCTACTTTTAAAACTCTCTTTGTTTTATAAAATTAATTTATGATAATTATAAATAAACAAATATATTTATTGTTTATTTATACTATATAAACTTTTATAGTTTACAAACTAATATATATTATATACTTCATCCGTCCCAATACAATAGTTTTGTTTACCATTTTTGTCCGTCCCAAAATAATAATCTTATTTCTATAAATAACCATATCACCATAAAACTACCCCTACTTTTTATTTTTATTACACAATTGTCACTACTTTTTACACTAATATACTTACAAGAGCAAAAAAGTTTTTTATCTATACTTTTTACCGATTACCAATATAATATCAATATTCCTTAAATCTCGTGTTCAACCCAATTAAAACTATAGTTCGAGGACAGAGGGACTATATTTTATTGAAATATAATGTTAAAAATTTAAAATACCAATAATACTATTTGTATTAGAAATAATAAAATAAGTGTGTTTAAAAACGATATATTTTTTTTAAAAAAAAACTTATCAATTTTAAACACACTTATTTTATTATTTCTAATACAAATAATATTGTTGGTATTTTAAATTTTTAACATTATATTTCAATAAAATATATACAATGTATATTAGTTTGTAAACAATAAAATTTTATATAGTATAAATAAATAATAAATATATTTGTTTATTTATAATTATCATTAATTAATTTTATAAAACAAATAAAGAGTTTTAAAAGTAGATAAATATTTGTTAATTGAGATATAAAAGTAAAGAAATTTTGAATAATTATATGCGTAAGAGATCATAAATTTAATTAAATTAATATATATTTATTAAGTGTATTTAAAATTGACAGACTTATCAAATGCAAAAATGAATCATCTTTTGTTTAACCGGAAAAAAAATATCTGAAAATATTGCTTAAAAAATAAAAATTATACTCCCTCCGTCTTGCAAGAAAGTTGTCATTGGCTTTTTGTGTGTTGATCTTTAAATATTAATTACGATATCAATACGTAGTACAAATCAAAAAAAGAAAACAAAAATATGTTTATTAGTCTCTTATAATACATATACAATGATATTTATCGAGTAAATTATTCAAATATAAAGATATTTTAATGTTAAATACAATGACGCAAAAACTAAATGACAACCTTCTTACGGGACGGAGGGAGTATGAAAATAATTAATTAAGCATGGAGCTCACACTCATTATTATTATGAAGCCTGACCAGTCACCTATTTCAATTTTTAATTATTGCTCCCCTTTGAACACGGACGTATTTAGTTTTGAATACGTCCGTATTGGTATAAATACAGTGATATATTGTTTTGTTGAAACAACACGTCAGTGTTATAGTTAACATGGCCGTATTTGTTTCAGATCGCTTGTCACATCAGCTTCATCAGCTTCCGTTATAACCACATCAACCAATACCGTTGAAATTTCAACGGTAGGATCAATAATGATAATTTATTTTTTTGTATGAGATCAATTTTGATAATTATTTTTGAATGGGACCAAAAATAAAAAATAAAAAAAATAGATTTGATTGGGATCAAAATTAATTTTTACTCTATTTTTTGGATGAATATAAAAATATCGAGACAACAAAGTGTTTATATTTAAAATTTGCTATTTTTTTTAATTGAATAACTACATAATTTTAAAAATTATAGAATTATATATTTCTTTTGTTTCAACTCAAAGTACCATTTTTATCATTTTTGTTTGTCTGATTTCAAAGTATTCATGTCCTATTGTTGAGCACAAAATAAGGTTAGAGTTTGAACCCAAGAAGGATGAATGGATGAGCCCAATTGTGGTCCAGTGGTGGGCAAATCCATGTGGTTGGAATGGTTGTTGGGGTCCAACTGATCGGACGGATGGCCCTGCATACAATATATTCGTCTGGATGTGGGCCTTGGGACGGTTGGTCAGTTGGTCACAAAGGTTACCGATGTGGAAACAGTTTTGGTGGGACGGTTGGTTGGTTAGTCACAAAGGTTACCGATATGGAAACGATTTTGGACGGTTCAGATCAATAATCGACGCGGAAGCAGTTTTTGGACAGTTCAGATTGGTAACCGACAAATAAATGGTTTCGGATGGTTCAAATCAGCAACCGACGATGAAGCGGTTCTGGACGGTTTGTAACCGACGTGAAAGCAGATTTTTTACGGTTCAAAGGTAAACGACGTGAAAGCAGTTTTTTGGGCGATTCCAAGGTAACCGACAAGAAAGTAGTTCTGGACGGTTT